GACAGACAGAAATAGTTCTAACAGTAGGGTTGTTAAATGTGGTTTAATGAACGTCAGATCAATCTCGTCTAAATCGCTTCTCATAAATGAACTTATTATAGACAAGGGCTTGGATCTGTTAGCGCTCTCGGAGACTTGGCTCCAACAGGACGACTACGTTAGATTGAATGAGTGCACTCCTCTGACGCATGTTAACTACCAGAAAGCCAGAGCTACAGGTCGCGGCGGTGGTGTTGCGATTATATCACACACCAACTTGGTTCTTAGTCCCAAAACCAACAACGCTTTTCACTCGTTTGAAAACTTAACACTTTCAATCACCTGTCCTGGGTGGAGAAAACAAAAAGCAGTACTATTTATAGTTTTATACCAACCTCCTGGTCCTTACAGCGAGTTCCTAACAGAATTCTCTGACTTCATTTCAAACCTAGTTTTGGAATGGGAAAACATAGTTATAACTGGAGACTTCAATATACATGTGCACTCACAGAAATGATTCATGCCAGAGTTCATTTTTATGCATTTACATCTATTTGATTTTATTTAAAAACTCATATTCTTAAAATGTATGCATTAAAAATAATTTTAATCTACATAATTTAATCAATTCTGAAATGTATTAAATGTAATTAGTTAATACATACTGACATTATTTAAATAATCAAAGTTATAAAACAAACAAGAATATTTTATTTAATATTTATGTGATTGATTTTCGTAGAAGTTATGTGAAGTGAAATGGAGAAACCGGAAACAGCGCCTTTCACTTCCGCTGAATTCTCGCGCTCAGGCACTTCAGGCACTTGTGGGCATAATACATCCATGCTTGTGGGTTGTCCTTGCAGTCGTCCATGTGAAGGTAAGTAATCCGAGATATCCTGTGTGTAGTTACTCCTAATCGTGCAGTTTATCTCACATCAATATTATATAATGTATGTATTTGTATCTGCGTAGTTCGTGATTCTTGTAAGCAGCTTAATCTTGGTCACGCCGCGTGTACCGTCGCGCGCTAGCATCGTAGCTAACAAGTTAGCTACCATTTTCTGTAATGGTTGTCATTTGTATGAAAACGATTTTCACATAGTAAACTGAGCTATGTAACTGCAATTAATTAATGTAAAGAACTGAAGAAGAATTGAGTCAAGAATCTGGACTCTAATATGATGGTTAGCTAGGTGATAGAGTACTTTATTTAAATACTGGCTTGAATTTCAGAAATGAATGTTGGATGCCATTTTCTTCTCACTTCTCTATTTTTTTTTTTTTTCCCAGATACCTAACTCTTGGGGTATTTGTCTCATTCGTGTGCTCACCTCCACGTGGCAACATAGTTTGTAAGTATAAGTGAACAATGTATCACAGTTTAATTGTAGTTCATATTAATTTACAGTTCATGTGTGGTTAAAATTGTTTGCAATATAAATTGGAAACATTTAGAGTAAGTATAGTTAAAAGCACAAATGATTGATTTATGATTCAAAAAACTTGAAAAGGAGCTGGCTTTTTGAATGTCTTTTTTGTAACATGAAAGCTGTTAAACCTTAACAACAAACTCTGCTGAAAGGCAGCTGATTTTACAAATAACCTAATTGATATGTTGTCCTTTGTCTTCATTCACAGGTGCTGTGTGAATGTGGCCTTGCAAATTGTGTGACAGTTTGTTATCTACCAGGTATGAGTTATTAAAACATTTTAGGTTGAGACATTTCCACCAGAGCTTGACAGGTCGATATACCTGTGTATATCTAGACTGTCCTTGCACATTCATAAGCTGGAAGCAACTTTTGACACACACATCGAACACACCACAAGTTTGACACAGCAGGTGCTCAGTCCACTACGTTCTCATGTCAGACATGTGGGTGTGAAGAACTTTCAACAGAGAAGGAATACTTTAGTCATATTAATCAACACCTTAGGCAGTATGAACATGTGACTTGTATGTTTGAGGGATGTACTTATCAGTCAAACATATATGGTACTTTTAATTCACATAAAAATCGTAAACATAATCCCCACAGTCTAAAGGATTTTAAAGCAGGTGTGGTTAAAGTTGGTGTTCAGTCAGTGTCTAGTCCAGTAGATGAGGAGCCCACATTTACTGGGGACATAGACGGTAGTCTGTCAGACGCAGATAGTGATATTGATCATGCAGAGGACCTTCCTGAAGTTGTAGAAAAAAAACTTGCCTCTGTTCTATTGAAGTTGGAAAACATTTTTCATGTTCCATCTATTGCTGTAGATGAATTAGTTGATGAGCTACACTACTTGCTGAGTACTGTGTCTGTGTCAATAACTTGTAACAGTATTTCAGATTTTTTCAAAAGAAAAAACATAGAGGTTGATAGCTTGGTTATTAAGGAATTAGCCAATTCACTGTGTCAAGCTCACCGCACACCGAAACGCAGCGCCTCGCGGCGCGTCATTTGACGCGCGTTCATGACATGTGTCAAATTACACCGGAACGCCTTGGCTAGCGTCCTTTTCCAGCTGATCGCAGATGAAATGGGTGAGTGACGTTTGGAAGTTTCTACTAATATTTTGGGGGAGGAAACAAAGTATTTACGTGAAATTATGCTGGCAAATATTACAAGAAAAGACTATTTGGACCCATTTTTTAAACAGGCTAATAACTAGCTCTGGGTAACGCTGTACTTGGGTTATCAAGCTTTCCTCGTCCATTGTGACCGGTTTACTTGAGCAATAGCGCCGACAAGTGTGTAAATTTGAGACCGCGCTCACAGCTACGTGATAAGAAGCGCAGAAGAAGAAAACTACGGGTGCTTGGAGGGACAGTTTCAGCCGCGGCGCCGCGTCTGGATTCAACAAAACTGAATCGTGGCGCCCGGTCCAGCGTCGCCGCGCGTCACTGCAACCTTGGTGTGCGTTCTCTCATAGAAAATAAAGGAGGCGGCTCTTTTGCCGCGCGTCAAGGCGTTTCGGTGTGCGTTGGGCTTAAAACTAGTCCTTTGACAAATGCACTGGAAAAGGGTGGACCCCTTGCAATAGCTTATAAGAGAAAAGAGTACTATAAAGAAGTGTTTAATTTTGTCGAGCCAGTGGAGTTTCTTCTTGATCAAAAAACAAGCATTTTGTTTTCTTTTCAGAATGAAGACATTAACGTGAGGCGTGATTGTGTGCTTCGATGCCTGAGCATCTACCTCAATGAAGATCTGGACACACTGGTTAAAGAATACATGGTAAGATGTTCAGCCTACTGTCCTTTCTGCAAAATGTAATTAATTTCTATCCAGATAGAATAACTTGTAGCGTTCATGAGAATGGGATGGACATGAGGATGCATTGACATGACCACCAGTAGTTCACGATTGAGTCCAATGGGTTGTTTAGAATGAGAATTTCCCACAAGGCCAACGGTGGTAGTTTTGTCACTTTGTAGGAAGTAAATCCACTTAGTTCAGAGGAGCCAGAGGATACAGTGGGCCGGGTCCTGGCATCTAAAAGCCTCCATTATGCCAAGGACGACAGTTTTCGTTCAAACAACAAGGTGAGGACACTTCATTGTTCTTATGAACCAGCAGTTTTTTGTTCAATGTTTGTCTGTGTTTGTTTTTTGTGGTAATCAATAGGATGCATGTTGTGGACTGTCTGCTTACGAACTCCAGCGCCTTGAGAACATCAAAGAGAAAGAGGCCTTCTTGTCGTCTTTGAAGATATGGCAAGTATGTGGACATGTTAATTGGAACTGTATCCAATACAAGACTGATCAGTTTTTTTTTTTTTACTAAATTTAAAGGGGAAGTTCAGCATCCCTTGTAGTTGATGAGCAATTGCCACTGTTGTCCATTGATAAAAATAATGGGGTAATTGTATTTCTCTGTCAAAAGGCAGCTGAGGATCTGAGGCAATCAGTAAAGCCAAAGACGCATGTCAAGAGGTAAGCCCTAAAGCAGTGTATTTGAAAGCATGTATTGTTTTTGCTGTAGGGGCTGAATCTATTTAGTAGTAGGGGTCATTTCTGACAAGTAAGGGGTAAAGGGAGAGAGAGAATGTTAGGATAGGGAAAGGTTGGTCCTTTCTCTTCCCTGTTGTCCTTCCTTCAACTTGTAGGCCAACCACTCACTTTTCTACAGGTGCTGAAAAGTTGAATAATTTAAACTTCTCAGTGCTGCCCAGCACCTCCCCTGTTAACATCACAAGGTCAAGTTTTGTCACTAGGCTTGATGCACAAACTGCACTATTTCCTGACTGGAATATTGCATCATTATTTCCTGCACCATACTATTTTTAGTGATTTATCAGGTACACGTTGATTGTGTCCTGGCTAAAACTTAAACATCTGACAAGACCCCTTCATGAATTTGAATTGAGTGAGAAGGTAAGTCCAGGATCTCCCCCTGGACTGCCACCTTAACGTGGTGGGGGAGTTTGAGTACTCGGATGATCCTGGGAGCTATGCTGTCTGGGGCTTCATGCCCCTGGTAGGGCCTCCCATGGCAGACAGGTCTCGGGTGACGAGTCAGACAAAGAGCAGTCCAGAAGACACCATGGACAGCACTCAAAAGAAATCAGTGACGTCGCCCGGCATGGCGCAGCCGGGGCCCCACCCTGGAGCCAGGCCTGGGGTCGGGGCTCGTAGGCGAGCGCCTGGTGGCCGGGCCTTAGCCCACGGGGCCCGGCCGGGCTCAGCCCGAATGGACGACGTGGGCAGTCCCTCCTGTGGGCCCACCACCCGCAGAGGGGTCCGTGGTGGCGAAACGGTGCAGAGAGGACTGGGCAGCAGTCGAAGGCGGAGACCTCGACGACCCAGTCCGCACACACAACAGCTGGCTCTTGGGACGTGGAACGTCACCTCACTGGGGGGGAAGGAGCCCGAGCTCGTGGGGGAGGTTGAGCGATACCGACTAGAGATAGTCGGCCTCACCTCCACACACAGCTTGGGCTCTGGAACCCAACTCCTTGAGAGGGGTTGGACGCTCCACTTTTCTGGTGTTTCCCGCGGGGAGAGGCGGCGAGCTGGGGTGGCCATTCTCATTGCCCCCCATCTCAGCCGCCACGTGTTGGAGTTCTCCCCGGTGAATGAGAGGGTCGCGTCCCTCCGCCTCCGGGTGGGGGATAAGTCTCTCACTGTTGTGACGGCCTTACGGGCCTAACAGCAGTGCAGAGTACCCGGCCTTCTTGGAGTCCTTGGGAGGGGTACTGGACGGTGCACCGCCCGGGGACTCCGTTATTCTCCTGGGGGACTTCAACGCCCATGTGGGAAACGCCAGTGACACTTGGAGAGGGGTGATCGGGAAGAGCGGCCCCCCTGATCTGAACCCGAGCGGTGTTCAGTTGTTGGACTTCTGTGCCAGTCACAGTTTGTCCATCACGAACACCATGTTCGAGCACAAGGGTGTCCACCAGTGCACGTGGCACCAGGACACCCTAGGCCGGAGGTCGATGATCGACTTTGTTGTCGTATCATCTGACCTTCGACCGCGTGTCTCGGACACTCGGGTAAAGAGAGGGGCGGAGCTGTCAACCGATCATCACCTGGTCGTGAGTTGGATCCGCTGGCAGGGGAAGAAGCCGGTCAGACCTGGCAGACCCAAGCGTATAGTGAGGGTCTGCTGGGAACGTCTCGCTGAGCCCCCTGTCAGACGGACTTTCAACTCACACCTCCGGGAGAGTTTCTCCCAGGTCCCGGTGGAGGAGGGGGACATGGAGTCCGAGTGGACCATGTTCTCTGCCTCAATCGCCGATGCGGCGGCTCATAGCTGTGGTCGCAAGGTCTCTGGTGCTGGTCCCGGCGGCAACCCCCGAACCCGGTGGTGGACACCGGCAGTAAGGGATGCTGTCAGGCTGAAGAAGGAGTCCTATCGAGCCATGATGGTTCGGGGGACTCCTGAGGCAGCTGTCCAGTACCGGCAGGCCAAGCGTGCCGCGGCCCGGGCTGTTGCAGAGGCAAAAACCCGGGACTGGGAGGAGTTCGGAGAGTCCATGGAGCATGACTATCGGTCGGCCTCAAAGAAATTCTGGCAAACCGTCCGGCGCCTCAGGAGGGGGAAGCAGTTCTTTGCCAACACCATGTACGGTGCGGGTGGAGAGCTGCTGACCTCGACTGGGGATATTGTCGGGCGGTGGAAGGAATACTTTGAGGTTCTCCTCAATCCCCCCGTCACGTCCTCTGTTTCAGAGGCAGAGGCTGAGGATGTTGGGGCGGATACATCCATCTCCCTGGCTGAGGTCACCAAGGTGGTTGGTAGCCTCCATGGTGGCAAGGCTCCGGGTGTGGATGAGATCCGCCCTGATTATCTAAAGTCTCTGGATGTTGTAGGACTGTCTTGGCTGACACGTCTCTGCAACATCGCGTGGCGATCGGGGGCGGTGCCAATGGAGTGGCAGACCGGGGTGGTGGTCCCTCTCTACAAGAAGGGGGACCGGAGGGTGTGTTCCAATTATCGTGGGATCACACTCCTCAGCCTCCCCGGTAAGGTCTACTCCAAGGTACTGGAGAGGAGGCTACGGCCGATGGTCGAATCTCGGATCCAGGAGGAGCAGTGTGGTTTTCGTCCCGGTCGCGGAACACTGGACCAGCTCTATACTCTCCATCGGATACTCGAGGGTTCATGGGAGTTCGCCCAACCTGTCCACATGTGCTTTGTGGATTTGGAGAAGGCGTTCGACTGTGTTCCCCGGGGTGTCCTTTGGGGGGTTCTCCGGGAGTACGGGGTCGGGGGTCCTCTGCTGAGGGCCATCCGGTCCCTGTATGACCGGAGCCAGAGCTGTGTTCGCATTGCCGGCAGTAAGTCAGACCTGTTCCCGGTGAATGTTGGCCTCCGACAGGGCTGCCCTTTGTCACCGGTTCTGTTCACTGTATTTATGGACAGAATATCTAGGCGCAGCCAGGGGTCGGAGGGGGTCCGGTTCGGGGACCACAGGATTTAATCTCTGCTGTTTGCGGACGATGTTGTCCTGTTGGCTCCAACGAACCAGGACCTGCAGCATGCACTGGGACGGTTTGCAGCCGAGTGTGAAGCGGCTGGGATGAGAATCAGCACCTCCAAATCTGAGGCCATGGTGCTCGACCGGAAAAAGGTGCCCTGCCCTCTTCAGGTGGGTGGAGAGGTCCTTCCTCAAGTGGAGGAGTTCAAGTATCTCGGGGTCTTGTTCACGAGTGAGGGAAGAATGGAGCGTGAGATTGACAGGCGGATCGGTGCAGCGTGCGCAGTGATGCGGTCGCTGTATCGGACCGTTGTGGTAAAGAAGGAGTTGAGCCGAAAGGCAAAGCTCTCGATTTACCGGTCAATCTTCGTTCCCTCCCTCACCTATGGTCATGAACTTTGGGTAATGACCGAAAGAACGAGATCGCGGATACAAGCGGTTGAAATGAGCTTCCTCCGCAGAGTGGCTGGGCGCTCCCTTAGAGATAGGGTGAGGAGCTCAGTCACACGGGAGGAGCTCGGAGTAGAGCCGCTGCTTCTCCACGTCGAGAGGAACCAGTTGAGGTGGCTCGGGCATCTGTTCCGGATGCCTCCTGGACGCCTCCCTGGGGAGGTGTTCCGGGCACGTCCCACCGGGAGGAGGCCCCGCGGAAGACCTAGGACACGCTGGAGGGACTATGTCTCTCAGCTGGCCTGGGAACGCCTTGGGGTCCCCCCGGACGAGCTGGAGGAAGTGTGTGTGGATAGGGAAGTCTGGGCGTCTCTGCTTAGACTGCTGCCCCCGCGACCCGGCAACGGATAAAGCGGAAGAAAATGGATGGATGGATGGATGGTTGGATAGGAGTAAACCTTACCCCTATAAGAGCTTACGAGAGAGAGGTGAGTAGAGCTGCTGGAGGGTAGAAAAGAGGGAAAAAGGGGTTGGAGAGGTTTGTCTTTTCCTTCAATCCATTTTCCTGTATCCAATGTTTATTAGGGTCTTACAGCTACTGGGTATTTACATCACTGATCTCTGAACAAAATCTGGATGATTCCTGGTTATGTATTTTTATATATGTTTATAGTTGGCGTTTTTTAATTTTAATGTTTGTTTTTTATTGCAGGTCAAAGGCTTTATTGGTAAAAGAGCAGTTTATGCACTCTCTCCGGAAATCCCTCCATCTTAAAGAACCACAGAACCTTACCCTCAGTGAAGGATCAGCCCATAAACACGTGAGACCAAGACTACTACTAAGAATTTACCTTTGGCCAAGCCACACCCCAGAGCGCAGCAAACAAAGGGCTCCCACAAAAGTTGGATAGTTTTTGACAGCTCTCCATTGACTTTAACACAGGCGTCTCTTGTTTTTGCTTTCAGCAAGCTATTACCGTCCTAGTTTTATTTAAATATTGTTGAACATTGTGCCTGGGGTATTTGTAACACAGATGTGTTTCCCAGAGAGGTGGTACAAGGGTGTTTATTTCCCCTTCCGAAAACGTGTCGTCCGCACAGTCGTCTAAAATTCTTCAAGGATCAACAAACGTACTTTTGTGTGCTCCAATTGTCTAACTAATGTAACTTTACAGTTGGGTCGTAAGCAAAAATCTTCCTGTTAAGGTTATGATTTCGGTTCTCTAACCTAATTAATGAAGACCCAAGGTGCTAGCAACCAAGCATAGCTAGCACGTACGTTAGGATTGTAAAGATATGTTTTGACTAGCAGCTTGATCTTAACGTTGTTGTTCAAGCTACAAACACCTAACATTAATGTTACACACTGTTGTAGTAGTCTTGAAGGAGACCACTGCCACCGTGTTGGTTAATTTTAGCCACTTTGCGGCAGAACCCTAGGATATAAAACGAGGATAAATCCGTAGCCTACCATAGTGCAGTTTATCCCGGTGTGAACTTTGAGTCCACTATCAACATCTCACAACTGTTGTACATATTAGTTCCTTAGAGAAATAAATAACTTGGATTCACAATATTATCAATGGACTGTTTTACTCGGATGAACTACTGCAGCAATAAGCCACGTTGATATCAGCGCCCAGACGTTAATCTATTTGACATAGCAACAGTAACTTGGGCAGGGCTTAGCCAAAGGTCAATTGTCAGATTTTTAATTGTGCACAATTTGAGAATGGGCTGTATATTATGTTAACACAAAATGCTTCCTTAACATTTTTGGAATTTGTTTTTTTTTTCAGGCTTTTAGGTGAGAAAAGGTCTTGGGGTCATTGTTACAATGAACTCACATCCATCTCATTCTCATGAACGCATATATACTGTGCCTTAAAGCTCTTCAAATAGAACATGTCTGAAATACCTTGATTACCTTTTGTTACCATGGTTTCCGTACACTTATGCCAGTTTCAAAACCAGGAAGGTGGGACGGTTTAATTAATTTTTCCTGCTAACAATGTGAACAACAATAAAGAAAAGCAATTGCTAGGTTTCAGGTTCTAGAATTTCATGTCACAGGACCCAGTTGGGGGGCAAGAGCCAGTTTTTCCTATTAATTGCATTACACTTTCACAAGTGATATCTAAAAAGTAAATGTATGAACTACAAAAAATATTATCATTAATCCCTGGGTCCATGATCTCTATGTAAAAGACAAAATTATTTTGTTTTAGAGGAAATTTGTTATCTCCATATATTATAGGTCTTTAGAATGCTGTGATGTCACATGCAACCCAGCATATAAATCTTATTCATAAGAAAAATAAACGGCACCAAAACTTAACTCATATCAAAGTGCCGTCCTGTTCTCTGAAGTAGAGTAGAGTTTTGGTGCTGTATATTTCTTTTACTGTTTTTCAGTCATGGTCCTAACTATGTGGACCATGACTGCTTGCTGCCTGGTCTTGAAACTGGCACAGGTGTATAGAAACCATGTCAATGAAGGTAATCAAGGTATTTTAGAAATGATCTATTAGGGATGGTCTGCTTAGATTTTGGTTAAGGTTAGGGTCACACAGCCCATCATTCTGTTCTTTATATTCCAGGACATTGAATCCAGAGAGGCTGAGGCAGACATTGGCGAGAAGACCATGGGTATCTACACAGTCCAAGCAGAAGTTGATGTTCCAGGTGATGGACGCTTTGCTGATGTCGGAGTTGTGCTGGAAGGTGTGAAAGTTCTCCATAATCTACAGAGTGTCAGCCATGCTTGTGTGATGCTTTATGGACTGATCTACGCACTCAACTTGAGCTATCCAAAAAGCCTGAAGAGTACATTTGAGGTATACCAGAAAATCTTGATGGACCTTGACTCAAGCAAGCTTTCACCAAAAGTGCAGGCACTGAAACTAAAATTGCTCCAGTGATTTGACGGGCAATAATGAACTTACACAGCCCATACCTGAGTTTCCCTTTATTTTTTAAATCTTGTGTTTAAATGATCCCTTAGTTCTTGAAGGGTGCTTCAGGGAAATGCCTGTTTTTTTTTTGTTTTTTTTATTTTGGTGTCCAAGCATTTAACAGGGGAGGTATGTATTGTGATGTATGAGCATGGCTGTGTAGGTGGGTTCACAGATGGGTAGTTTCTAGTGCTAGCAGGCATTGTTGTAGTTGCTAAGCTCAAACCATATTTATCTTGAATTGTTACCAGATTCAATGGGAGCTAGTTGTGTGTTAAAGACATTTTGTTCCAAAAAGGTGCTTCAATTCCTGTGAAAGCCTGTCATCACTCAAACATTTTTTTTTCTAATATTGAAGGGAAACTATGGCCAAAATGCCTTCAAAACAAGACCCTAGTTTTGGCAATATTTTCTCTTAAACATTACCCTATGGCGTCAAATTGGGGTCTGAGTAAATGTAAACGTAAAATTAATATTGTAAACGTAGGTGGTAAGTATTGTAAACATAAAGAGAACTGTAAATGCACATAAAAAAAAAATTATTGTAAATGTAAAACTTACATTTACAATTCTCCTTTTCTTTCTTCACTTGAGCTACGGTTATGTTTTCATCCCAAAAGATCTTTAATAGTCTTCATTTTATTTTCCTTGACATTGATTACTGAATATGACTTTAAGGTACATATTCCTGATCGAACCTTTATGTTCAACATTATTAAGAAAATATCTAGAAAATAAATATTTTGAATTTTGACATGCAAAAATAGTGTATAAAACGGAGCCCAGTGCAGTGTTTTTGTAGGTTAATTTCAAAATTCAGGAAAAGGATGTCCTGATGAAGACGGATGCCCTTCCCTGTGTTGTTAGGATTCCAACATTATCCAATCTTTTACTTTTTTCATTGACATTTCTGCCTCTTGCATTACTTTAAATAATAATCCAGCTAATCAGCCATTCACAAGATGGCCGCCACGTTAAAGTTAGCATGTCCATCTAGCGTTTTGTCCATCTAGGGCTTTGGGAACGCCAAACACAAAAAAAAAGTATGGTAACCGTAGCTTGTGAATTGTAAACCTAACTTCTGACGTGAAGAATGAAAAGGGGAAATGTAATTAAGTTTTAGGTTTCCAATATTTGTTAAAGTTACATTTACTGTTTTTATGTTTACAATACTTACAAACTACATTTACAATACCTTTTACGTTTATGTTCATGCAGACCCTAATTTGCATGCCATAAAACCATCAGAAACAAAACTGCAAAGACCACAAGTGGAGTATGTATTGGCTGGATAGGAAGTTTTATAGAATTTTTGCACTGGCAGTTTTGCACTTTGCTCTGTTGAGCCGAATTATTTGACATTTATTGGACTTGTTTGTGTTTTTGCTTCATGTCATGATTTATATACCCATTTTTTTTATATAATTTTAATTTCCAAGAAAAGTGTTTTACATATATTTTTACAGTTTAGTCACTCCAATGTGGAACTAGCGAGGACTATAAAGGTTAACAGTGGTTAGCCCAGTTCTGGATGGAGGAAAAACGTAGGATGGAAAGGCATGAGATGGACTAGAAAGATGGAGTTTTTTGTACGCACATTAATATTGAAGAAAATACGTTTTAAGTGGACCACAAGGATTGTGGATGTTCTGTCCTATAACAGCTCCATGTCTTGGACTATTGAGAGGCTTTAATGTTAATAAATCTGTGGAATTAACAAGGTGATCTGATTGTTCTTATGCATCATTAAGATCGTACTGAATGGAGCAAAAATTACATAAATGTGATGCATTTTGACTAATTTTGTTTATTACATAAGCATAAATAAAATGTAATTCAAACAATATACTTTATGTATTTTAAATAATTACACTGCTTATAATTAATTTGGAGTAATTATATTTTATTAATACAAAACGCATAAACTTGAAGATTATGCATTTCAAATAAATTAGCATTAGTACACTAATGAATATAAATCATTTAAGGTTTATTTGGTAGGTTTGTATTAAAATTATCTAAAAAAAGTGAATGGGAATTTGTCATGTAATAAAATTACATAAATCTTAAAAGTTAGTGTTAAATATTTCTGTGAGTGTGGACGACAGCACTGACAGCTTAAACAAAGCTTTCAGCGCCGTACTAGATGGTGTTGGTTTTACTCAGAATGTTGAGGAACCTACTCACATTCATAACCACACCTTGGACCTTGTCCTGACCTACGGCTGTGATGTCTCCAATGTTGACATCCAGCGTCAAAGCTTGTTGCTGTCTGACCATTTCTTGATCACGTTTGATCTCGATTTGGAGGACTTTCCTGTCCCGCAAGATAAAACCATAATGAAAAGAACCTTAAATGATAAATCTATCACAAGGTTCAAAGAACTAATACAGCCTATGTTGAATACTGCTGCAGGTGAACCTGTTCACAGCAGCTGCAGTCCCTCAGTCATTGACCAAACGGTGGACAACACTATGGAGTCTTTAAAATCTGCATTAAATGCAGCAGCTCCTTTAAAACAGAAAACTATTAGGATTAGATCATCGTCGCCCTGGTACAGTGTTCAACTCCACACTTTAAAACAGGACGTCAGAAAATTGGAGAGGCTATATCGCCACTCCCACTCGGAGCCTGTCCACAGGGAGTGGAAAGCAGGTCTCCGAAACTACAAGAAGGCCCTTCGCGGGGCTCGAACTCAATACTATTTAACTTTAATAGAAGCCAATAAAAATAACAGTAGATTTTTGTTTGGCACCGTTGCTAAACTCACAAACTGCCATAGCGCAATCGAGCCTAAAATTCCAAGCTCACTGAGCAGTG